GAAGGGGGTGGGGCCGCGGGACCAGAGGGCCCCGAGCGGCGGCTGCGGAGCTCCGGAGCCCGAGCTGGGTGAAGGCTGCTGGGGTCCCGGCGGCGGCGGCGGCGGCGGCGGCAGCGGGAGAAGATGGTGGCGCTGGAGGTAGGAGCGGCCGGAGCGGAGCTTTCATCCCAGGCTGGGCACCAACGCTGTCATTAGCGCCGCCTGCTCCCGCGGGCCCGCGGACCCAGCTGTCAGGCAAGGTACCACCAACCGGGAGGAGTGGGTGAATGGGGGTGCGGGGCTTTGATGCCGCCCGGGACGGAGCCCAAGTCCTCACCGCAGGGTGATCCGGGGCTCGAGAGGGGCAGCGTGGAACAATAGTGAGGATGAGCGGGGACAGCCGGCGACATCCAGGGGGCAATGCCTTTAGCCATCGAGCCAACGGGGCGGGGAAAGGGGACGTCGAGGGTGGGGACCCCTGGTGTCCGGTGAGCGCTGGGATGCCAGGGCTTTGAGAGTAGCGGGCGGGCCTGACAGTCATGGCAGTGTGTGTGTGTGTGTGTGTGTGTGTGTGTGTGTGTGTGTGTGTGTGTGTGTAAAAAGGTACAGGCAAGGGATGGGGGTGGCACGGACCGAAAGTGTTAGGGGATGACATTTCCAGGAATCCCCGCTAGGATCCCCTCATCTCTCTGACTCTCCTGGAGAAGAGTGTGGTGGCGGCAGTGATGCGGTGGGCAGGGTGCACTTGGTGAGCGAGTGTGCAGGGAGGCAGCTGGGTAGAGGCGTATTTGTAAAATCCCATGTGTGTGAGTGTGTGTATGTGTGTGTACTCTGCGATTGCATTCACACTTCCCAAACTGTGCCCCAAACCCAGAGATATGCTAATGCTCTGACTTGCTATCACAAACCGTGACTGTGGGACAGGGCTTGTTATTTTGACCCTGTAACTCTTGAGTAAGGTTGCTGTTCTGCATGTGGATGGGTGGGTACAGACATTTTCGCTTCCCCATTCTCTGGCCTCTTGACTCGGGATATGGAAATGTGCATGTGGCTTTGGGTGGGTGCCAGAGAAATAAAATAATGGTTACCCCTTCTGGGCTTGCTGCTGTCCCTGATTTTGAAAGGAGTTTGGATCCTGTGACACTTCTTTCCAAGCCCTGTTCCCTCCATCAGGGTCTTAGCCGCCCTGACTCTGCAGTTTCTATTGTTTATCGCTTATCTGACCTAAAGCTTTAATGACCACATACCTTCTTGTCTTCCATCAACTTTGAGTGTCAACTAGACCTTCTTCTAACGTATTTCAACACTGGAAACCTTATGACCAAAGAAAGCATCGTCTTTCTGTTGGTTCTTATAGAATGGTCTTGTGGAATGAACTCTGCAAGTGTGTATAAAGAGATGGGGGGGGGTGAGAGGGAGAGAGTATTTGAAAAGAAAAAGATCCTACTGAGAAATATTTGGTCTCCTAATGGATAGTGTCACCCAGGCAGGGCGTTTTCCTTCAGCAAAGAGATACTTTATTTCTACAGCTGGTGACATCCATTCTACCAGCTTCCACAATGACTAGGTGGTGCCCTGCATCCTTTGGGAACTGAAATCCCCCAAAGCCCATGGTGATGGGGTTCCAGGGTTGGTGAAGTCTGCTTTCCTAGCTGATATAGCCTGCTACCTAGGGAATTTGGAAAATGTCAGCCTGGCAGTAAGTCACTCAACAGGAACCAGGACACAGAATTGCATCTAGAGCCTGTAGCCCTTTAATTGGCTCTGCATGATAAAGATAGACTTGTGTAGGGTTGGGGAGAGAGATGGGAAGGGAGACAGCATATTCTTATGTGTCCACTGCAGTTTGACTACCTAGTGCTTGTATTTCTCCTGCTGTATTCATAGGAATGAATGCACCTTTACACTTAATATTTTGATGCTTTTTAATTGAAATGTGTGACTAGATTAACCTTGTTAGAAAATATTTTAGTCATGACACCTTAAACTTTACTGCATTGCTGACAGAATCCAAACTGGCTGCCCAGGTCTTCTTTGAAAAGCCTGTAGCAGTTATGTCTGTACACGTAAATATATAACACATTGGTTGGCATCAAGGATTTTCTTTTAAAAAATTTTTATATGAGTTTGTTTTGGCAAAGGTTGCATGATAACATTGTTAAAATGGAAATAATAAAGCTAGGTTTTCCACATATGTTTCCCCCCCATTTATCTTCTCTTAATTAATGATGACATACAGACCGGGTACTCTTGAATCTGTGAACATTAAACTAAATTTCCGCATGTCCTTCAATTCAAGCCTTCTAAAAGTTTAATGTGAGGTTGTTGAATGTCATCCAAGATTTAAGGATAGATTTAGAAAAAATGAATTTTGAATCTTAGTTCTTTACTCTCTTATTCTGCCAATTTCTTTCTGAGAAAAGTACTTACGGAATGTAAAAGGCATTCTAAGAGGTTTTGGCTTTAAAAAATATATATGTATATGCAAGTAAAATCCAGAAATGTACATGTCTTATAAGGTAAAGAATATTAGGAGTTACCAAGTTAAATAAGCTGTTTAGAAAAAGAATAATGCAACAATGTAATTGACAACTTCATAAATTAGCAATTTCTATTCTGATGTAAATTTGTTCATTTTAAAAGGGGTTCCTAGCTTCCTAATGATTGGACTAATAAGGTTAATGATACAGTTAAATCCTGTCAATCTGGTAAACAGTTGTACATTTTGCTGTAGCCTACAGCCAGTCATTTGTTTTGCATGGATGTGTTTTCTTCACTTAAGGTAGCATTAATCCTTTCCTCTCCATTATTGGATCTCTTAAAGAAGTTTGCTTTTCAAAAGATGTGGGAGTAAAAGACGGTAAAAGAACTGTGGGGCCAAAAGGAATGAACCTTTGATACCTTGGCGAGATGGGATTTGTGTTCTTTAAGGAAAAATCAATTATTGCTAATTCATTATTATGATTATTGAGAAAACTTTAATAATTAAAATCCAAAGTTAACCCTTTGGGTTACAATCATTCATTTATAAGTATTTGTCAATGTCCTACTACATACATTTCAGATGGTGTGTATATTTTTGGGTAGGGTCTGAGAAATTTTGAAGGACCAGAGATTTGAAGAATAAGAAAACTTAGATCTTGATTGGAGGAAATTTATGGCCTCAAGGAGAGACAGGGTGTGCATGTGACTATGAAAGTGATAAAAAGAAAAATTGGCTACGTGCTGAAGAAAGCTGTATTCCTGCAGAGCGGAGGGAGTTAACAGGATACAGATAACTTTAATGGAAGAAAAGGTGAAGGACTTAAAGGAAATTCCATTTGAACTGTGATCTATACAGGTGGCATTTGAGCTAGCAGGGAAACAAGAACATACTTGGCAGAGGAAAAGTATAGCAGGAAAAGTATTGCACAGAGCGGGTGGTGGGAAGGGGCTGCTGTGCAGTAAAGAATGATGTGCTTTGGCTGGCACGCAGAGTGCTGAGAGGTAGTGAGCCATGCGCCAAGGAAGAGGCCCCTCCAGGTTCGTGGAACAACTTAGATGCCAAACTAAGGAGTATGAGTTTTACTCAGGAAGGACCAGGAAGCAATGGAAGGCTTCTGAGGAGGAGGACTGAGAGGATCAAAACTGTGCTTTAGGGTTATAATCTTGTACCATTGTGCTGTATATAATGAAATGAGAAAAGACTGAGAGTCTTAGAGAGACTCTATCGTAATTAAAGGTAAGAAAAAATGAGGTAGCAGTAGGAGTAAAGAAGCAGGGACAGACTGGAGACAGGGAAATCAAAGGTCATTAGCACACAGCTGAGAGAGCTATGGGTTCATTGTCAGAAGGTTCATAAATGGACAAGAAAGAGGAGGAGCACTTTTGTTTTGGGCATAGCAAATTTCTTCAAGGGAAGGGACTACAGTAAGGGAGTAGGTATTCAGAGATAGTAGGTATTCAGAGCTATGAAGAGGGATGTGTAAGTTTTTATAGGTGATATACTTAGGAGCAATTTTGATATCTCAGAAACATCCAGTAAAGAAAATGGGTATGGGTAGGATCCTTGGGAGATATCTACATGTTACAGGGGGAAAAGAAAGGAAAATTGAAGGGGCAGTTGGGGAAGAAATGGTGGCAGTAGAATGGTGTCAAGGCTCTGGGAAAGGCAAGAGGAGCTGCTGTTATTCATACAGCAAACCCTAGGGGAGAGGGTACAATAAAGGAAAAGCCCTTGAATCTGACTCCTGGCAGAAATGGCAGCCAAGATGCCAGGGGTTGAAGAGCAGGGGATGATGCTTAGGGAAAGCAGTGAAGGCAGACTTCCATTTTGAGAAGGTAGGTGGTGAAGTGTTTGATGCATCAACGAAATGGCATAGTAGAAGAAAATGTTTTTAGTAAGGAAGATCAAGCTTACATTATAAACAGAGGAGAAGAATTCATAAAAGGGAAAATATAAGGGAGAGGCAAAAGTGACTAAATGGAATCTTCAAGAAGATGGGAGAATAATAGATAAAGGCAGAGAAAGGACTATTTTGAGCTAGAAGCATGGTGATTTTGAAGTGTGAAAGAAAGGAATTTGGCCAATCTTACACATATTGTAAAGTCAAATAAGAGCTGAGTAGGTTGAAGCCATGGATTGAATAACAAAAACCTGAAGTATGCACTATGAAAATGTAGCAGTGAGTCAACTAGGGGTGAATAAAAGACTGTCACTGACTATGAGGTCCTCCTGCATTTGGAGAGTATGAATGTGTGGTGGAACCAATTAGCCCTTTATAATTAGAATTTGACGATGGCTCATGTAATTGTGTAACAGCATTTAATGCTGTTAATACAATGGTTCCTCTTCCCTTAAACTAGTGAGAAGAGAAAAACATTTACTTTTACAACTAACTGAATAAGAGACTCCACCTGAGGCATTTCCTGGGATAACTGACTTAAGTAAATAACACTTGTAGTAAAATTACTAAAATAGTAGGGAAAAAAGCATAAGTTTGTTCAAAAAGATGATCTTTCCCTAGCTATAATGCCAGGGAAAGACTCTACAATTAAATGTAGTCTCTTAATTTTTTTCAGAAGAAAAATGAAATATACCACTTCACCTGACACTATACCCCTCAAAGCTCTCAATAAATATTTGTCACATGTATATGTGAATAAATTTATTTATTTAAGCTAGGGGTAGTGTCTGAGATCTAAAATTTTGGAATTTCTTATTTAGACCATGGACACTGAATGAGTGCATTTTGTGGTCTCTGCAAGTTCATGACAGAAT